TATTCAGCAGCCGAGTATACAAGTCCGAGGGCGGATGATCTGACTACAGAGGCTAAAGACCCCCCATGTGGTACCACATAGCGGTTGGACTATATTATTTCGCGTTTTCAGTTTTGCTGCCGTCCTTTGAAGGAGTCCTTTAAAACTCAATATTCTGTCCAGAGTCACTCCATAATATTTTGGTGTTGAGTTCTGTGAATGAGCAGTCTGGTTTTAAAGTGAACGGAGAGTTTTTTGTTGTCTTGGGTATTATTTAGATGGAAATAGCACACTTCGGTTTTTGTTGCATTGGGCCGTAACCTTCATTGGTAAAAGTATTCTCCCAAAACGGTACCATCATCCGTTAGTATTGTTTCTGTAATAACCATGTAATTCTGTCTTGCTGCAACGACCCAGTCATCAGCGTAGCCAAGACCATGCTATCAATGAGTTTAGTTACTTTTTGACACGAGATGGCACGGGTTAGTTTCCAGATTCGTTCTTCTCTCCAGACAGTATCGTATGTAGCTGATAGGTCAATAAAAGCAACGGATGTTATTTGCTTTCTTTGTAAACGTGCTTCAATATGTGTTGTTAGAGATAGAATCTGATATATGTAGCTACGGTTAGGTCTGAACCCTGCTTGATCAATAGTTTGTAACATTTTTTTTATCATTAATATATCAAATTATTTTTAATTCCTTTTATCCCCGTGCGATACGCCGATGATTAGGAATCTCCGTGTTTACGATAGGAAAATATTATTGTAGACACCAAGCTGAAATGGAATTCCCTAATTAAGAAAGGTTTTTAATCCTTCCGTCATAATATTCATTATGAAAAGAGTATAATGCTTTTTGGTATTCGGTTTCTTTTCATAAATTGGTAATTTTCGTCGAAGGCCCGTATCTTTTGACAATAACTTAATCCCAAGTATTGTCTGATTCTTATGTCCAATTGTTAATACCGATTATTTTACCTCAAACTTTCCAATAGTCGTTAAGGCCTTACCTTCTGAGAAACACATAAAACTGTCCTATCATTCTTGAGTGGGGAAATATTTTCTTCTTCCTTTTTCAGGGACAGTTGGTGAAATTTTTAGTGGAACCAATTTACTTGTTGGTGGGCAGTTGTTGAGTTAAGGCCAATATCTCGTGTTACGCTTTGCTCACTTTATTTCTTATCGTATCGTCTTTGTGAATTATTTTCTAAGTGTGTATACACTTTATATTTGAGTTTTCTGTCCTTAGACTATATTAAATTATTTATAGTTCTACACTACCTTTAATGGTACCTTATTAAATTCAGTGTTGAATACCAGTACAGTATCTTAAATTTAGTGAATTAAGCTGCCTTCGTCAAGATCTTCTGTAAGTAATCTTTATCTACAATTATCTGGGCGAGTAATATGGTATGGTATCATATCACCTGCCATTATCTGGACGTATCATCTATATCTTCACCTGTAGATTGCCGATTTTTGAATGTAATTGAACCATTCAAAAAATTTCTATAAATATTACCTATGAACATACAAGTCTCAGTTTTTTATTAAATATTAGTGCGAGATAGTTAATTGACTTAAGTGCGGTTTGGTTTATGTTTTCATTCCTGTAACCTTTTTGTTTTTTTTTTGTAAATTTAGAATTAAGTAATTTTTGCTATCTTTTGTATTTCCTATAATTTTTGTTCATTATCTTTCCTATGATATCTCGAGATACGCCAAACTATATTTGTATATGATTGCCTTATATATCTTGGTAAAGGTATTTTTTTTATTACATTATTGCTTAATTTTATACATATACAACACCATTTCATAGTTGTATATTTTTATTACTTGTGTTGCATTTAGCAGAATCATAATTTTGTGTTTAATATATTGTTATTGTTTTATGCATGTATTTTATTTGTCGGCTCCTAACAAGTTCCCTGATAAAATAATAGCTCTGAACAATTACTATCTTTAATTATTACTATGCTTTTGAACTGTAGAAAGATCAGGCTGATTAAGTTTCGTAGGTAAGTAAGTGTAATACTTAATATATTTATTATTTGTTTATATATTGCGTTGACCAGATCTATTTGATAATTTACTGTTGGTATCTTTCCTTGGGTTTGATCTCTGAACCTAAATATCTTTTCTTATCTCTTTTCTTTTCTAAAGTTTTCTTAATTTTCTCCTTAACCCCAAAAAATTGAGTGGCGCCCTGTTTCTATCTTCTCTTATCTTTGGTAATTTTATCCATCTATCTTTTTGTTTATTTCTGTATCTTTTCTAATATTTCTTATCCTACTTTACCTATTTCTTTCGTTGGACCCATTCCCGGTTCCAAAAGCTAGTTTCGAACCCACGACTCGCTCTCCACCAACCATCTGGCTGCCGTCCGCAGTGTCTCCATTGGTTATCTTTCTAGCACTACCCAAAAAAGATTTCCGAGGTTACAAGGTATCAATTCAAATATGTTTCTACTAATTCTGTTGTAGATAGAGCGTTCCAACAGTGTATAGACACAGCTCAGCAGTGTAATCGGTCGGTAGTTTTGGGGCTGATCATTTGCCTTTCCTGGTTTTAAAATGGCTATAATGAAGACCATTTTTAGTGAATGGGGGATTTCTCCTGATTTTAAAATATCTGTATAGAAATCAGCCAGCTACTCCTTAGAATATTTGCCACAGTGAAGTAAAGATTCTGAATGGATTTAATCTGAGCCGGGTGCCTTTTCAAAATTAATTTTTGATATTACTGGATTTCTTCTAGAGTAAACTGTGTTATGACATAATTAATATAAAAGAAAAACAATAACTTAAGTGACATAATAAAACATAAAAAAATTACTTAAAAATTCCTTGTCCCTGCTCTTTTTTAATGTGATATTAGCTTAATTCAAATGATTTGTACATAAGTAAAATATTGTTCATTAAAATATTCTCCATACAAATAGAAGAATATTATAAATATAATAATAACACAATTTTAAAACCACGTACAAAATTTTTATAGTTCAATCAAACGTCTTCAGTGTAGGATTCCTCAAATCATTTTGGTCTAATTTTTTGTTTTTATTTTTGCCCTAATTACCTGAACAGTATAATACCCTGACGGCAAAATTCTGTCTATAATATCTAAACTATTTGAAGGTTTTCCCCGACACATCCCTTCCTGTCACTATTCTCTTTGAACAGCTTTGCCCTTAGGTCCCTCATGCGGAACATGAAATGCCATTTTGTGTATAAGGAAATATTTAAGTGTTCATATATTATTTATTGTTGGTATTTACTGCTTAAATTTAAATATATTTCCAATACATTATTAGAGTTTATAACGGTAGTGGTGTTTTAGTTTTTAAACCTCAAACTATGAACAATGAACATAAAAGATCACATTAAATATTATTTGGAAATAAATAAGAAGTTCAAGCACAAATTCTAATCAAAAACAATTTTTTTAAGGAAAACTGGGTGGCCAGTAAAATTTATTCCGGAATAAAGCAGGAGTGGTACTGGATTTAATGGAATACCGAAGATCCTGCTAAGTATCCTGAAAATAATCGATTAATTTGAAGAAAAATCATATAAGCTCAAACATCATGGTTATATTTTGTTTCTTCAAAATATAACTGCAAAATACTGCAATATGGGTATTCCAATCGAAGACGAGAGCGATATAGACTATATGCTTAGAAAACTGGAGAAGGAGTACACCAAGTGGGACCTTATAATTAATATACAAAAAACCGAGTATTTCGTTGCTGGAGAAAAATGACAAAGCCTACAAATTGTAACGATAACTATAACATCAACTGAAACCTTTAAATACTTGAGGGTTCAAAGAACACCAAAAGCAGGGTGTAACGAAGAAATATATTCTGGGATTGGCCAAGCAAGACCAGTCATTAGATAGCTATATGGACTATTGTGGAATAATAAAATAACAAAAGAAAATAAAAAAAGAATTTATAAAACAGTAATAGAAAGTATTGGATTGTACGGCACCGAACTTATGGGATATGGGAAAACAATCAAAACAACAAATCAAAAATTAAGGCAATGGAAATATACTATTGGAGATGATGTTTCCGGCATACTAGACTTAATATAATGGAATTTGACCTAGACATAATACATACTATGAAGCCAAAATACTAAACTGGTATGGAAACCTGCAGAGAATGCCTGAAAAGTAGATGGCCAAAAGAAAAATGGACTCCGCCGATTAGAAGAAAACGAGGTAGACCAAGATGGTCACAGATTGAAGATTTAAAAACTGAAGATTGCTTCGACAGAAAACGCTGTAAACTAGGATGCGAGAAATGGTGCCAACTGAGAAGACTCGCCTATTATATATATTATATATTCATTCAGGCAGCCTGCGGCTTTGTTTGCTCTGACAACTTGATCTTCCACTTCAGTTTAGAGCTTTCCCTAGCTAGATAATGTGATGTCTAAATATTTAGACTCCATCACTTGTTCTATTATCTGACCTTCCAGCTCCAATTTACATCTTAGTAAATTTGTTCTTGTAACCATGTATTTTGCCTTTTTTTGGAAAATTAACATGTTAAATTTTTTGGCGATTATGATAATTTGATAATCATCTTCACTTTAAGAGAGTAATATTGCGTCGTCTGCATAGAAGATTGTTTTAAGTTGTTTTTCTTTCATTTGGTATCCTTTTTTATTTCTTACTTTTTTTAATATTTCATCCATAATCAGGTTAAACAATAGAGGACTCAGGGAATGTCTCTGTCTTATCCCATTGCCAGCTTCAATAGGGTCGGTTATTTCTTCCTCTCCTTTTTGTCTTTTGCAATATTATAAATATTATATCTTCTGCGAAAATTAAACATTGATGCCCAATTTTGGAAGTTGGGTCTCTGGATTTTATCCTTGGGTCTGTTAAAATATGTCATTGTGACTAACTGCATAATTTTTTTGGATATATTCAGTACAAACGAAGTGATAATTATAAAAAACTAATTAAATAATCGAATACCTTGGTTTAATATTAATTGACTTACCTCCAAAATTAGGTCTAAGCCTGTTGTCATATCCTTTCAATAGTTCTGTAATTGTTTGAGTTACGCTGGATAACCGGGCAGTGGATGTGTCGCTGTCAATTCTAAAAATAAACGAAGATAAGCTTAAAATATTGCTTAAAATATTAAACAAAAAAAACTAAAATTATTTATAATATTCACAGCCCTACTTATTTTGTATATTATTCCACACTACGATGCAAATGAATGGCGTTTGTTTATTAATAGGTCCAAGCGCAGTTTGAAATGTGTTCTGCTTTACAATGCAAATAAGTTTGGTTCAATACCAATTGCTCATTCAACCGTGCTGAAAGAAGAAGAAGATAATTTGTTTAGACTTGAAAATGGTCAACTTTTTTCTTGGTCAGCAAAGCGGTTACACAAAATATCCTTGCTTCTTGTGCCTCTGGAATAGTAGGGATCGAAAGAACCACTGGAATAAAAAAGAGTGGCCTAAGAGAAAAAACTAGGTAATTGGGAAAAAGAACAATATTGCCCAGTATTTAGTCGAACCAGAGATAATAATCTTAGCACCCTTCCATATTAAGCTTGGCTCTCATTTGTAGATATTATCAAAAATTCTCTGGAAAATCACAAAAGTGAAAACTATGCTGAGCTGGTAAAAAATCTGCTAAATACCTTTCAATCACTTGGATGTAATATAAGAATCAAAGTCCACTATCTTCACAGCCACCTGGACCATTTCCCTAAAAACTAAGGTGACACAAGTGAGGAGCAAGGTGAGATATTTCACCAAGACATAAAAACCATGGAGGACTGCTAGCAGGGAAGATAGGACACCCATATGATGGCAGATTTTGGCTGGAGTTTGAAGAGAGACTGTTTAAAAGTTCATTCCATACTTACGTCAAGCAAAGTTTTTTTCTATTTTGTTAGTTTTTTTTTCAAAACTAATTGTATATCTGTTTCATTGTAGTTAAATGGCTTAAAATATACGTATTTTCTAATTGTGTGATTTTTATTTCAATTTAGTAAATCCATACCAGCATATTCGTATTTTAATGTATAAAACCTGGCATGGCCTACGTTATCTTGAAAAGTAGAGCTGATAGGGCAAAACGAAAGCCATATTCCGAATTATCACCCGAAATATATCTAAAAACACCTTGGCACCAAAAACACTGTAGGCCTGTGTTATTGTCCTGAAGCATTTTTCCTGTGGTATTTTGTTACTATTTTTATTGGGAATTATTCGCAATTTTAGTTTAACAATGTTTATTTTGACTTTTCAAATTTCATTTCGGATTGATTTCCGAAGTGGAAATTAAAGCTATCCAGCTACTTAAACCTTATAACATTAATTAGTTTGACAACACCAGACAAAATGACAAACAGTTTAAGATAATTCTTCAGAATGCTACATTGTGGACAATGACAGAAGACAGAATCATTCTGTCTAAACAAGATACAATGTTTACTTTAAACAAATGTTTGCCGGAAACTGACAAAATCATTAGATTCCTAAAAGCAGGTAGTGCTACGCTACTAAAATAATCTTTTTCTTGGAAAAATCATAATTATTAAATTCAGGCAGTAAATGGAAATTCCAGATAGATATTGAGGGATGAATAATGAGCTCATTAATATCAAAGTTATAAAATTCCAACTAAGACTTAAACTTTTATATAATTTATTTATAAAATATGCAAAATAAATCGTATTTAGCTTAAATATGGAATGTTGTTAAAAATGAACAAAAATATGCAATATATGAATCTATATGCACTTTGTATAATATATTCAGCTCTCCAGTGATTAATCTAATCGCATATTAATGGAAATACTTATTTCAGAATGTTCTAATATTCTAAGAAAGGTCTCAGACACGGATGCTATCTGTCACCTACTGCCTTTAAAATTTATGTAATTTCTATTCCAAAGCATCGGCACACAAAATTTATTAATGAAAGGGCTAAAATAAAGAGTTAGAGTTACTTAAGAGATTAGAGACCCAAATAAAATTACTTACACCTTTTAAAGCAGCACCCCATTTTTATGGAGTACCGAAAATGAATATAAGAGCAAATACACCACTTACATCTTTTTACAATGCTATGAATTCTTTTTGTGTAAAATGTCAAAATTTTCATTAAAAATAATACAACCATCTGAAAGACACACATTTTTAAATAAATTCTTGAACATTAAATTTAATTTAAACAATATTTTTTAGTTTTGATATAAATAGTCTATTTAAACATGTGCCATTAGGAAAGGCTTTAAAAATAATCAAAACAAAATTAAAAAATGATGATATATCGACAACTAGAACAAGACTAAATGTGTTAGCTATAATGCAGATATTTACATTCTGTACTGACAACACCTGTTTTTAGCTAAATAATGAATTACATAAACACAATTTTGGTCAAGCAATGAGCTCTGCTTTATTTTCATTATTGGCGAATATATTTATGAAAGACTTTAAAAGAATGTTATTTATATACAAAATTTAAAACCCGCAGTATTGTGGACAAAGGAATATGCTGTATGATCTCACCAATCAATCTTGTTGGATATATTTCTGATAAAAATAAACGATGAAGGAGAGTTAATAACATTTACGACGGAATAGGAATATACACAATTTATTAATTTTAATTTGGTCAGTTTTTTGATAAAATTTTTTATTTGACTTATTGTACGGAGTTAACTAAAACGTGGTTTTATGATCCTAATTTTAAAACATCCTGTGGAACAATTCCGTTTGTGAATTTCCGTAAAACCTCATTTTTCAGTTGCAACCATGCCTCTTAAGCATTGTGTTTTTTGTTTCATGTCAAAATATGCCTTGGTACTGAACGAACAATAATTAACACCGACTCAGAAGAAATACCGGACATTACCGACTATGAAATAAGAATGGCCCTAAATCAACTAAATTCGAGTAAATGTCCGGGAGAGGATAAAATTACAGTTGAAATGTTTAAAATTGGTGGCAGAAAAATGGAACAGGTATTAAATATTTTATTTAATAAAGTAATTGATGAAGGAAAGATTCCTTAAGAATGGTAAAAACTCCGAAGTCATTTTACTATTCAAAAAAGGAGACAAAGCAAACATCGAGAATTACCGACCAATATCCTTGCTAGAAAAATGCACTGAGTATAATGTTCCCATTCATATGGCGTTCGTCGATTTTCATAAAGCCATATTCGATTCCATCGAATTATGGGCAGTGCTTGAATCTCTAGAAAATGCACGTTTAGATTCAAGATCTTCTTCTTCTTTAAGTTCCATCTTCTATCGAAGGTTGGAAATCATCATGGCTATGCGGACTCTGTTGACTTCCGTTTTAAAAAGTTCTGCATTACTGCATTCAAACCATTCCCTAAAGTTCTTAAGCCAGGATATTCTTCGTCTTCCCACATTTCGCTTACCTCGGATTTTGCCCTGCATAATAAGTTGTAATAATGCGTATTTTTGCCCTCTCATCACATGTCCCAAGTACTCAAGTTTTCGTTTTGTAATAGTTAATATTGACTGAAATAAAGAGCAGAGTTGAACAAGCCAGAAATGCTTTTTTGAGGCTTCGTAAGTTTCTGACTGATCGCAAATTGGACTTCAATCTCCGATACAAGATGCTTAAATGTTACGTGTGGCCTGTTCTCCTGTACGGAATGGAAGCATGGACGTTAAAGGCCAGTTCCATTAACAAACTTGAAGTGTTTGAAATGTGGTGCCTGCGTCGAATGCTCAGAATACCATGGACGGACAGGGTCAGAAATGAGGAAGTACTCAGAAGAGCGGGCTTACAGGATAGGGAACATTTTAATTATGTAAAAAGTAAGAAGAATGCATACTTGGGGCACATTATACGAGGAGAACGATACATTTTTCAGCAACTGATTCTCGAAGGGAAAATAGAGGGTAGGAGAGGTCTCGGACGTAAAAAAATGTCATGGCTGCGCAATATTCGACAATGGACAGGAATCCACAGCTATGAAATGCTTCGCAATGCTGCTAAAAACAGAATTATTTAAACCAGAATATTTAACATCTCACCTGACAAGACGATGTACGGTGGACGCCTACGCAGAAATGCACGGCACCTTAAGAAGAAGAAGAATAGTTAATATTATTTCCGCCTCATTTCCTATCCTTCTAGTTACTTCCATGTTTGATATTCTTTGAATCCATGATATTCGTAGGATTCTTCTGTAACACCAAAATTCAAAGGCGGCCAACTTATTCAAATGAACTTGTTTTAGTGTCCAAGCTTCCAAACCATAAAGAAGAGTAGAGAACACGTAACATCGAAGCCTTCTCAGGCGTAGTTCTAACCTAGATTCAAGATACACTAACATAATTAAAAACATATATGAAAATGCCACACCATGCAAATAAAACTGGAAGAAATCACAAAATATAATCCCATAAGACTACAACGGAAGCTTGCCTCCTAAGGCAAGGGGACACCATCTCTCCCAAACTATTTATTCTTGCTCTAGAAGATATTTTTAAGAAACTGAAATGGAACAATAAAGGTATCAACGTCGACGAATCATACGTAAACCACTTGAGATTCGCAGATGACATAGTTTTAATAGCCGATAATATCCAAGAACTAAATGATATGCTACAACAATTAAATGCAGTTTCAGGAGCCGTAGGCTTAAAAGGGAACTACAGTAAAACAAAAATACTGATCCGAGACCAAACAAATATAACAATACAAAATCATACTATAGAAAATGTTGAACATTATGTATATCTAGGTCATGTCAACAGACTAGGAATACCAAATTAAGATGGTGAAATTAAAAGAAGAACACAACTGGCATGGGGCGCTATCAGCAAACTAGCATATATCTTGAAAAACATCTCAATTCCTGCAAACTGAAAAAGGTGTATAACACATGCACATTACCAGTTTGTACCTACGGCTTGGAGACAGTAACCCTTACCAAAAGATCTGCTAAAAAATTAGAAACAACGCAAAAAGCAATGGAACGAACCAGAAGTCAGAAGACAGAAAAATTTAAAAAATCAACAAAACACATTGAGATCTATTTAATTTAAAACTAAATCTAACAACGAACAATAAAGAACAAAGGATAAG